AAGGCTTGCCGTTGACCATGCGCTGGTTCATCTCGGCAACTGCCTTGGTGGCGTCGTCGGGGTTGCTGAAGCAGACGAAGCCGAAGCCCTTGGACTTACCATGGGGCTTCTTGTCCGACTTCTTCTCGGTCTTCTTCTCGCCGTCCTCCTTCTCCTCGGTCTTCTCGGCCTCTTCCTTCTCCTCGGCCTTGACCTCCTCCTTCTTGTTCTCCTTGTCCGTCTCCTCGGAGGAACCCTCCTCCTCCTCGTTGCCAGAGTCGGTGGCGTTGTCGCGCATCACCTTGGCAGAAGTAATGGGGCCAAAGTCGGCGAACAGCTGGCGAAGCTTCTCGTCGTCAACCTCGTCGTCGAGGTTCTTGATGTACAGGTTGACACCCTGGTACTTGTTGGCCTTCTCCATGCGAGCAGCCTCGTAAGACTTGCGGAGCTCCTCCTCGCGCTCGTGCTTCTTCTGCGCTCTGCCGACGTACAGATCCTGTCCCTTGAAGTCCTTACCGTTAAGGTCATCGACAGCCTTGGAAGCAGCCTCATGAGTAGTGAAATTGACGAAGCCAAAGCCGCGGCTCTTGCCTTCCTGGTCGCGGGCAAGCGAGGAAGAGGTGACGTCGCCGAAAGCGGCAAAGAGGTCGCGGAACTCGTCGTCGGTGACCTCGGTGGCGATGTTCTTGACGTAGATGTTGGTGAAATTGGCCTTCATCTCCTCGAACTTGCTCTGCCGGTCTTTCTTGGGAATGTGGTGGCCGACGTAAACCTTCTTCTCGTTCAGAAGCATGCCGTTAACGTGCTTGATGGCCTGAGAAGCAGCCTCGTCGGTCTCGTAGTGAACGAAACCGTAGCCCTTGGAGTTGCCGTTCTCATCCTGGGCAACCTTGCAGCTCAAAATGTTACCGAAAGCAGCAAAGGTGTCGTGGAGAGCCTTGTTGTCGATGGCGACATCGAGGTTCTTGATGAAGACGTTGCCCTGGCCAGTCTTACGCAGAGCAGGGTCACGCTGGGACCACATGATGCGGCAGGGACGGCCCTTGATGAGGGTGTAGTTGAGCTCCTCGAGAGCCTTCTCGCCATCGGAGGTAGTGTTGTAGTTCACGTAGGCGTAGCCGAGAGAGCGGCGGGTAACCGCATCACGGCAGACACGAATGGAAGCGACAGAACCAATCTGAGAGAAGAGCTCGAAAAGCATGGCCTCGGTAACAGAGGGATCGAGCTCGCCAACGTAGAGGGAGGCGGAGGCCTGGGGGTGAGGCGCAGCGGAGCTGGGGGTAGGACCCGCGGTGTCGGCATTGTCGCCCTGAGCGGCAGACTCAACGTTGGTGTTGATGGCGGGGGCAGCCTTGGAGTCAGAGCCGTTGAGGGAAGCGTTGCCCAGGTCGTTGGCGAGCTGGTCGACAGCGCCGTTGTTGGTAGCGGAGGCCATTGTATCGGTAGTAGAATTGACTAGGGGAAAAGATACTACAACACCAAGTGGACGTTAGAGGCAGGTTGAGATGACGGAGGAATGAGCCGCGACTTGGAAGGCGGGGTAGGAATTTGCGAGCCGCACACTTTGGTGGAAGTCGACGATGAGGTGGGAGAAGAGGGGATATGAGGGGAGAAAGCACATACCAAGTCAAGAAATCTGACGATCGGTCGTTGGACGAGACCGAGACGATGTGGTCGGAGGGGATAAGAGTAGAAGAGGAGAAGGCGAGCCTTGTATCGTCGAATGAGGTTATGGCGATGTGTGACGTTTGACCGACACACACGAGGGGCACTTGTTGCGAGATTGACAGGCAGGTGCGGAGGTAAAAGCAAGAAATAAGAGGCTCGGTGAACGATTCCTCTAGAATTTTCTTGCGATTGAGGAGGGGAATTCCGTTATGGAAGTTGGGAGTTTTTGATGGGGGATTTTCAAGTTTTTTTTTGAAGTTTTTTCTGATGGAAAAAGTGAGCGAGACAGAGAACAAGTACGAAGACGTACTCCTTGCCAGACCCTCTTTAGATGTGAAGGGGGTTGTTGATAGGGTTTGGTGTGGTTGGTAACGGAGAAAAGAAGAAGAGAGGAGAGAGATTTTTTTAATGAATGTGGCTTTCGCGGGATGATTTTTTTTACTGGATCTGCCTACCTGCAGTGGAGGGTGGTGCCTTCCCACCACTCGATTTTGGCACTCCTGCTCCTCATGCTGTGTCCCTCCTCGCCTTCCAGATTTTGTCGAGGGGAGGGGCAGCCCGCGCCAGGAGCAGGGCATGTGCCAGCAAAGTGGGGTACAAGTGGCTCAAGTCCTCGTCATGCGGTCACTATCGCAAATGGCAGCAACTCAACACTGATATCAGATAGGGACATCAGGCCAGCTTCGACACAAGTACGAGCGTTGAGGTAGCTGGTTTAGTGGAGAATCGTCAGAAATTTATGCGACCATTTCCGATTCAACGGCGAACCCTGTGACGAAAATACAAACAAAAAAAGAAGATTGCCGATTTGGAGGTGTCTGGAGCACCTTTTTGGTAGAAACAAATAGGTTCAGGCATACTAAGGAGTAATGCGACATGCTGCCTTGACTGACAGCCAGTCACGGCAGACGAAACCGATGAGAATGCCATACCTGGCTGGCTCTCTCTCTTTCTGCGGTGTGCGACAAGACAATGACAGGGACATTGCTCATTTCCAAAAAAGTAAGGGCGATTTCACACCAAGAGCCTTGGCTAGAAACGCGGTACCTAAATGCGCTTGTCTGTGCCACAAATGCCCACGAAGAAAGCCGGCACTTCCATCAAATCCTTAGCTGCCGCTTTAGACACGAATCTGAGGGCCCGAAACTGAAGCACCATAATAACGTAGAAGCTCAAGACATGCGAGACTGCTTGAGGCACTCAGCCCCTCGCCTTCAGCCTGGAATGGAACTCCCAACATGCGGGCGCCGGGTTTCTTCTGCATATCTGTACCCGTATAACCCAGAGTCTGTTAACCGCGGCCCATCTCCTCCCGGCTAATGTTTGGTGTCCTATCAAGAGAACAGATGATTATCAGAGCCCAGATGATTGCTCGTGCAACGAGTTTGTTGTTTGATATCGAGGTATTCATGTGTGTAAAGTCCGTTGTATTCATGTTGATTTGACAAAAATCTACTACCATATTGCGCAGTTTTCCCTAAGAAAGGAACACCTTGGATGCTTTTCAAACGACTCTTCAGCCTTTCTACATCAGGGTACCTTCCTCATACGGGTTCACCTGGGCTGGCATCCTCACCGACATTTGCGCGAGTAAAGAGACGGCAATCCGAGTCAGCCGTGTCTTGAAAGCACAGCACAATCAATATAGACTTCCAGCTTCTGCGACGGCCGTATGTTGATGTTACTGAGTTTAACACCTGTCTTGTCTTTTGTTGTGACCATCCATCGTCGGGTCCATCCATCTTTAAAGATGTCATCAGAAATGTCCACCATCATTATGGTCAACTAGCAGCAATTAGGTCAACGTCGGTTTGTGTGTTCCTCCCCGGATGGCAGGGTGCAAGGGGGCGGCGCTTGGACTCAATCGCCCCCATTCTCTTATCCAAGGTAAGGTACGTACCTGACCTTGCTGTCCCCAGGCTCCAGAGCCCACCAGGCCAGAAAGCTCGTGCCTGCTCGCGTCACATCGGAACCTTCCACAACTTGACGCTGGGACCAGCTCCAGCTTACCTCACCAGGCCAGGCACCACCTCGAGAGACTAGACCCCACCACGGCCGGTGCCCAAGCCTGTGAATCCCCCTCCAGTGACAGTTCGATTACATACACCCCGTCCGAACGTGCTGAAGCTTCTGGAAGTCAACCGCGCTCGCGACTTGCTCACCGTCCACCCTCGCAGCTACTTGCACCTTGTTGGTTCTGCGAATCTCTTCCTGACATGGTACGACCTTACCATTTTCACTTCTTTCATTAGGCATCGTTTCTCCGAGGAAACATGTTTCCCACCTTCACGGGCAACTCCCGACGCCCCCGGAATGTGAACCTCAGTGGCCAGAACCTCAATCCCTTTGCCGCAACATCATGGACGCCTGCCGCAGGCTCAGGAGCCTCCAAGACTGTTTCCAACGCCCAAGCCGAACGCGCACAGAGACAGCAGGACCGAGACAGGTTGAAAGCCTCCGAAAAAATCCAGAAAACATGGAGGGGCCATAGGGTTAGGAGGCGGCTTCGAGACTCTCGCCGGGGCGCCTTTGATGCTCTGTACTCGAGTACCTCGGACCTTAGTGCACAGCAGAGACTAGAGACGGCGTTGCCACTGCTGTTGACAACCTTCCAGACCCGACCCGACGATATTAAACGCTTGGTGCTCTTTGCGAGAGAACTCAACACGACCAACCTCGAGTGCCTTGCCCCTGGCCACCTTCCTGCACCTAGGCTGGCACGTCTTGTTCGGATACTTGTGGATGCTCTAGGCGAACAAACAAAGAAATCGTGGGTGTCTCTCTCTGGGAAACGCTCGATATCAACTAACGCTCCCTCTAGCAGTCAAAGCGACGAGATCCGACTCTTTCTTAGCCTCCTAACACACGTCATAAGCGTTGCCCCCGATGCGCTTTCGAAATCATTTCAACAGTACTACACAGCCCTGGCAGAGATATGTGGAGTTTCAGAGATGGATGCGGCGGCTTTAGAGTCGAGCTCGAAAGCTCTCCTCGTGCCGCTCCAAGCTGCATCCGTTGACGAGTACCTGGTGGCCGCTTACGAGGCATTTGCGCTGTTCTTCTTGACTCGTCATGATCTATATCTTGTCGAGGAGCACTCGAGAGTCATTTCTGAAAACCTCGAATCCGATCGACTTGCCTCAGCCATCAAAAGAATCTATAGTGACGGACTGATACGCGGGGTTGAACGGGAAGCTCAACTTTGGCTTCTTGCACATTTCGTTGGCTTATACCAAAGGGCCGGACCCAAGAGCCAGGGGCTTAAGCACCTAGACGCATTACATATACAACTTTCGAGCTTGTCCACAGAAATCAGCTTGCGGCTATCTGTTCGAGCAGCCGATCCGGCCTCGATGAATGTGGATTCTAGCAACCCGGATGAGTCGTTGATTCGCCCTCTGCCTGCATACATCACCAATCAGCTCACATCTCTGGTCAACCGAGATGGAATTTCAGCGCTTTTGGCCGAGCTCACTACGTTAGTCAACCCCTTTCCTACCCTCGGAAAGTCGCTTACATTACCCAGTAATTTTGGCTCTCAATCCTCAAGTCACGAGTTCCGAAGCGCAAGCTTGCTATCCGGGTACATTCTCACTCTTCTCCGTTGTTTCCCAAGTCAGGGCGATGATATCCGTATGCGCCTATTCCTAGGAGATGTGAGCACGAGCTTGGGAAGTTTGCCGACAATCCAATTTCTTTGGCAGGCTATGAGCCAGACCACCATTTACAAGCAGATTTTGCAAAATTCGGCATCGGTACAAGTTCTGCTACGAGACTACTTGTCAAAGTCGTCAAAGTCAAGTGACTCGCATGAGCAAGAATGGAGACTAGTCCTTCTCTTCCTCGAGCTTTACATTTTTATTCTACGATTGAGCGACGACGAAGATTTCTTCAGTGGTATCTTCCCTGATATAATGCAAACCGAGGGACCAACGTCTCGTCTGCGAGCATGCGGACTTTCTCTCAATGAGGTGAAGAACTTAACCATTGTGCTCAAGCACCTAGCTTTCACGCTACATTACAACGCCGCGGACATTATACAAGGCATCCAACATTCCGAGCCGATCTCGATGACGCAGCTTGAGTCGTATTTTGGAAGCGGCAGTAGTACCGCTAAAACTTCGAAGGAGGTCCGAAGCCAAGACTCAAGAGCCAACGCGGCTGACACTAGACTTGACCTTGGTAGCCTGCGTAGTATTGTGACCACGGCATTGCGACTTCTATACGAACGAGATTCTCGACGGCCATTTTTGCCCCGAGACCACTGGCTCATGACATCGAAGTTTGATATGGAGGGTTTCGTCAGTGCTGTTGTCGCTGAACAAGAACGACAGAACGAAGTCTCCGACTCTAGTGACGACGAAGACGGCGAGGTTGACGAAGATGCGAACATGGGTGGGCTGCATAGCGGCATTATTCACACCGTGGCTGGACAGCGAGTATCACGACATGCACAAATTGAGAAGCTTCGGGCTCAACAACGCAAAGCACAGAGGGATCGTCTGCTCGCCGTGATCGGGCCAAAGCTGGAGATTCTGAGACATATGCCATTTGTGATTCCATTCGATACCCGTGTCCAGATTTTCCGCCAATTTGTCTACCTTGACAAGCACAAGCGAAGGGAGGGTATGGATGCTGATCAGTGGAGAATGACGATGCTTCACAATCCTCTGCGCTCCCCTGGACGCAGTCCAGCTGGGCGACATCATGGCAAGATCAGGAGAGGCCAAGTGTTCAAGGATGCCTTTGAGCAATTCTATGAGCTTGGCGAAGGCCTCAAAGAACCCATACAGATCCAATTTGTCGACCAATTCGATACGGTCGAAGCTGGCATCGATGGTGGGGGAGTTACGAAAGAATTCCTCACAAGCGTCACGACAGAAGCGTTCGGGCCAAGGGATGGCATTTCGCTTTTCGCGGCCAACAGCAAGGGGCTCTTATACCCCAATCCGACTGCGATGGACGAGCTCAAGCAGATATTGAAGCGAGGTGGAGTTCCAGAGCGCACGGCCGAATGGCAAGACCAAGTCCAGAGTCTACTCCGCCAGTTCGAGTTCCTTGGCCGGATCGTAGGCAAGTGCATGTACGAAGGGATTCTGGTCGACATTGCGTTTGCTGGCTTCTTTCTCTTGAAATGGATCTCGGGCCAGACTGGAGAGAATAGCTACAGGGGCAATGTGAACGACCTCAGGGACCTCGATGAGGAGCTGTACCAGGGCATGTTGCGCCTCAAGAACCACAACGGGAATGTTGCGGATTGGGCATTGGACTTCACGCTTAATGATCAGGTGTCTTTGCCAGGGGAACCTGTTCGCACTGTCACGCGGAATCTGATCCCAAATGGTGAGAATGTTACCGTTACCAACGATAACCGCCTCCTCTACATTTCCTACGTTGCCCGTCACCGCCTCGTCGCCCAACCTGCACAGCAGACGGCCGCGTTCCTTCGAGGTCTTCGTTCGATCATTGCGCCTGCATGGCTTTCGATGTTCAACCAAAACGAGTTGCAACGCCTGGTAGGCGGCGACAGCTCTGAAATCGACATTGAAGATCTGCGTCAGAACACGGTCTACTCAGGCTTGTACGAGATCGGAGACGACGGACTGGAGCACCCCACGGTGCAGCTGTTCTGGAAAGTCATGGCCAATTTCTCCGACCGGGAGCGGCGAGACGTGCTCAAATACGTTACGAGTACGCCACGAGCACCATTGTTAGGTTTCTCCCAGCTGAGCCCGCGGTTCAGTATCAGGGATGGAGGAGAGGATCAGGAAAGACTGCCCAGTACCAGCACGTGTGTCAACCTACTGAAGCTGCCGCGCTATAAGAATCAGGAGACTCTCAGACAGAAGCTGCTTTATGCGGTCTCTTCGGGAGCTGGCTTCGATCTCAGCTGAGCCAGCGGTAGTCCCAAGAGAGTGACTGGGCGGGCATTCATGACGTTATGACGTGAAGATAGAGCAGATCACTAGTGTTCAAATGCAAATGTATTATTTCCATACTCTGTGAAAAGATCTGTAGCTCTGTAACTAATGCGAATATACGCTTTCGTGGCGTAGAGTCTTAGTCTATGGATGACGGTGGATGTGATGTCAACCCTGAATGGGCACTTTCTTTGTATTTACTATACTAGCTAGAATATGTTTGTGTATCTGGTGGCCTTGTATGTAGGGGCAACTTGCCAACGGTCGTTCCCCCAAACGACATGTATGGTACACGATTGGTACCATATAACACTTGTAGCAGCATTTCGACCGCTTTACTGATAACTCCTCTCAAGCAGATGCGGCTTTCTCTCTCTCAGATCCAGCATCATCTGTCCAAAGAGACCATTGGCCCACGCGAACCTGCAAATACCCGTTAGCAAAAAGCCAGTTCAATATCGATATCAGGGAGCAGCGCAAACACAGCGTTCGCCACGGCTTTTGCAGGAAAAAAAGAAAAAGAAAAAAACCAAAAAGAACAAGCAACATACCAAGATCGAGTCCACTTGGAAGCGTCGTGACTATTCACAGACTCGTGAATGAGGCCGAGACGATCAGTGGAAGCGACGAGCTGGCGCAGACCGCCGGCAATCTCGTCGTCGTCGTCCGAGGTCATGAGCTGGGCGATGAGGGCCATGGGCCAGGCGTTGCCGGGGCCGATGTGCGGGCCGCCGGTGGCGTTGAGGACGGGACCGCGCATCTGGTAGGGGTTCGAGGTGGAGAGGACGAAGCGGCGGGTGTTTTGGTAGATTGGGTCCGAGGCGGAGAGGTAGCCGTAGTGCGGGGCGGAGAGGAGGGAGGGGATGTTGGCGTCGTCCTGGGTGTGTGTGTGTTAGGTGACTGCAAAGAAAGGAGGTTTTGGGAGTGTAAGTGAGGTTGTGAAGAAAGGAGAGGGACTAACCATTATGTTGTGGCTACCAAAGCCGTCGACTTCGTACGAGTAAATTTCGCCAAACTTCGGGTGCGTCGTCTTCCCGTGCGCCTCGATGCCCTCGCGGACGACCTTTGCCGACTCCCTCATGCGCTCGGCGAGGCCGGCGTCGATGCCGTCCATGATCTCGGCGCACGAGTTGAGGTACCGCGCGAACATCATGTTGGCCGGGACGAAGAGCTGGTAGATGCAGCTGTCGTCGCTGGGACGGAAGAAGCTGCGGACCATCCCCGTGCCGGCCTGGGTCGGGGCGCCGTTGCCGCTGTTGGAGAGGGTCTCGGAGGCGGAGACGGCGCGGCGCTCAAAGAGGGCCGGGGAGGGGTTCAGGGTGCCGTCTGCGGCGTAGGTTCCCGTGCGGAGGGCGTCTGTGGTGTTGAGGAGGACGGCGACGGCTTTTGACCAGTTGAAGCGGGCGAAGAAGTCCTTGTCGGCCGTGGCGGCGTGGTAGTCGTGGGAGAGCTGGAGGAAGGCGGCGAGGGAGTCTAGCTCGTATCTTGATGTGCCGTGTTAGTTGGACAGGGTTTCGAGGGTCTGGGGGGACGGGACGGGACTGAGGGGGCTATTCACGTACTTGCACTCGAAGAAGGAGTAGGTCGGGTACTGTGGGTAGATGTGGTCTGACGCGCCGCCGGCTTCGTTGTCTGCGGGGGCTATTTGGGATTCCGCTGGCGGTTGGAAGGCGTTGCAGTGAGGTGCGAAGCGGACGTAGCGAGCTTGGAGGTTGATTGCGCCGCGGTATAGAGCCGCGAGGGAACCCGCCGAGGAGTTGCGTGTAAGTAGAGAGCGGTAGCTCTGCAGCTGGTTACTGCTGTCCCGGAGCCATTCCGCGTTGATGTCACCGGTGATGATGAAGCTGAGTTCCTCGTCTGCGTTGTCTTCGGCAACACCGGCCCAAGCGACGGTAGTGTCAAGAGTGTTCGGGAACGTGTTCTCGAAGAGACGATAGAGGTCGGGATCTTTCACGAGAGTCTTCATCTCGGTGATGGTCTTCTCGACCTCGGGATAACTGGCCGTGCGGCATTCTGGCGGGGGGCGCTGGTAGGCGAGCTTATGGACGCCTTCTGAGAAGGGTTCGTGAAGCGTTGCCGCGTAGTCGGTGAAGTGAGGACAGTTGGGTTTGAGATTAGCTGCTGCCAGGCCGGCGAAGGCGAGGCCGTATAAGAGGGCCATGATGACTATGGAAAGGTGTTTTTCCAACAAGGTTGCGGTCACGACCGCCGGACGTCGCGATGCCAGGCCCTCGGCGGACAGGGCATCATTATAAAAAGAGCCGGAGAGGGGTTGGTCAAGTGCCTGTCCGGGTCCTCATGTTCCTCTGATCCAAGGATGAACTACAGTTCGCGTGACCTTGGATGATGAGCGGGGGAAGTGATCAAGATGCGGGGGAGGAAACGTTGTATATGGAGACTAATAAGAGAACGTTGTCGTATTGCAGGAGGGAATGATGTCGTTTTGCTTGTTAGTGTGCCCACCGCAAGTCCGCCAGTACTTCAAAGTGGGGGATGAGAATGGGAAAAAGACCAGGGCGAAGAAGATATTCCGGGTGAGGTGGGTAGGTTGAAGAAAAACAACGCTCAAGTCTGTGGAAAAGAGTCCACGGGCTCCCGCGACGTTTTAGCATCGGGAAGCCCAGACTGTCGACGAAGCTCAGGCCATGAGTTGTGTTTTGAATGTGCCGACGAGCTTCAAAAAGGAAGCGGGAATAGATAGGTATGGTCCGTATATGCTGGCTCTCAAACGCTGATGGGACCCTGACGCTTCTTGACAGACAAGGGTTGTCCCCGACTCAAGCTTCCAGAATAGCCGGTGGGAGAAGGCAAGAATGAATCGAGGCAGTTGGAGCCAGGATGGCAGGATGGAGGAGCAGGGTTCTCCGCCTTCATGCAGCTGTTGGATCTCCAGCTAAGAGACGGTAACGTTAGCCCAGCGGCAGCCACTCGGCGCTGTGCATGGTGGTGGTGGTGGTGAGCAGGCGGGTATCCTCCGATGAAGGAAGACGCAGTATGCATTGAATGAGATGGATGGGTGGAGGAGGGCGATCCACTGCGCTGTCGCGACCGGATTGCTCGAACAAAAGTTGCTGCGAGAACATGTTCCAGAAGCTTTCTGTGGATGTTTCTTGGGTTGCAGTGTTGAGCTACAATCAGAATGTGCTTCTGGAGGAACACTGCGCGCGGAGAGAGTCCGCTTGGACTTTCCATTGGAAACCAGAGCCAAGTCGGGATGATCTATGCTCGGCTTCTGAGGTAGTCGCAGGATATGTGACGAGGCCAGCAAACGAGAGACTTTGCGCGATAACGGACCTGACCGCTACAAAAAATCGGACTACGTCTTGGACCACGGAGCGTCAGTGTGAGAATGGAGAGAGAGTAGAAGAAGATGATAATCAAAAGAAACGGTGCGTTGTGGAAGGGGCCAACTCAGAGCACGTGGCTCTTTGTCTTGGAGACGAGAGACTTGCGGAAGTATTTCTGGCGGTGCTTCTGTGAGAAATGGCTCGTGAACGGCTGACTCGGAGACTCGGCACAAACTGCACTAACATTTAACCTTATTTGTGACGACCGGGTTGGTAATTCAAGCAGCTCAAAGCATGATTACTGCAATGCGGCTACCATCACTGATCAGGCTCTGCAGCTGTGCTACCTTGGCCCATAAGCCCGTCAGACCTACTTGATTTGGCGTCGCTTCATCCTGCAGACACGACATGGTACGCTATTCAGGCCAGATCTCGACACCTCCGTGGCCTGTGATTCCCCCCTCAGCCCTAGCCAAATTGGGAGTTTGGAGCAGAGATTCCGCCGTTCAAATGGGTGCCAAGCTTGTTTCCCCAGGCAATAGGTATCGCTATCTCGGAAAAGGGCCGGCCAGCTGCAGATGATCCATTATGTCAATTGGTGGCCCTGCTATTCTACTGCGTATGGCGTCGACATGGTTACCGTTTCGGGCTGGTGGCTCCAGAGCGAGACACTTCAGGAGGCGCAGAGACATGGAGTAATACGGTATTCGTAGGGGAAGGGAAAAATAGAACCCTTGTTTGTCCCCATCCATCCCATCCCGTCGGGGCGAATTGCCATACTGTGGTAGACTAAGGTATAGTACAACTTGGAGGGCTTCTTAAACAAGGACTGCCTGCCCACATCTCTCTCAACAACATGTCTCCTGTTACCCCTTCCGCGGCATGTGCCTTGAAGCTTCGAACTTAACCGTTCGAATCTCATCATTATCGTTCGCACTTGCTGCATGAATCCGCTTTGAACCAAAGGGACGGAGCGAGAGCACGAGCTGCCGAGACTTGCCTGACTTCTGACTTCAGCTGAAGTTGAAGTTGTTGTTCATTTCATCGGTCGTCACTTTCCGAACCGAAGTTGCACGCACACCAAGGAATGCCATCCATCCCTACCAAGCTCCAGCAAGCTATCCGGACCTACGTCAGGCCAGACACACTCAACTACCCCCTTAGTCTACCTCGGGGAATCGTCTCCACTTAGTATACAGCTCTGACTTCTCCATCGTCAACAATCATCTTCCACCACTTTCATCAACAAATTACAACTCTTTCGGTACGGAATGATCCGGGCAGTCCTCAAAGACATCCATTAACATATCGCCAGGCTTTTGTCAGGATCGCATCCGTATGACCGCGCAAGCAGATCAATCACTTCGGCGAGCTAGTCTTCGTCCAGCCCTGGAGGCATTCTAATGGGCAGAAGTTCTGTTGAACCATTTTAACTCTTGATTTGAGGGTATCTGGTGTCTGCTGGTCATACCCGAACGGCGACCTTTGACCACAGTCCAGGATGACCCTCCTCGTCCCAGCCATCGGTCTATCCCGACCAGTTCGGCTGGCGGTATTCGCTGCTGTCGTCATCTGTCTGGTCTTCTGGTGGCCTCTCTCAGGGACTCGCGGCTTCATCAACCTAATCAATACCAAGTCGGATTTCAGAGCACAACGAGCCATACTGAGATATGTCAATCCATTAATCGGAACCACCAACGGAGGTCAGTCAGGTTACCTAATGTACTTTTGTATACATCTGACGAAACCTCACAGGCCATGTGTTTCCTGGCGCATCATTACCATACGGTAAGTGATACAGTATCTTTGGTAACGACGCATGCCTTTCTCTGACATTTTCATTAGGGATGGCCAAAGCCTGTGCAGACACGGACTCCAGAGCCGAGAATGCGGCTGGCTGGGTATCTGACAACTCCAAAATTACCGGCTTCTCTCATTTACATGATTCTGGTAAGTCATCACAACTTCTGTTCATCTGATCATAATGCTGATGAATATGAACAGGAACCGGTGGTGTAAGAATTCCTCCTCTCATCGGTCCAAGTCTATGCTGTGTTACTTACGTTTCAAATAGTCACCTTCTCTGGGCAATTTCCCTCTGTTTCCTCATCCGGGATGCCCCAATGATGATTATATGGCCTGCAACTTCACAACGGAATCACGAAGCCTCTGGCGCGTAAATGACTCTGTTGTGGCCCGTCCAGGCTACTTTTCTGTCAATATTTCCAACACTATTGGCGCCGAGATGACAGCTGGGGAGCGGACAACTCTCTTCCGCTTCAACTTCTCACCAAATGATACCGTATCTTACGAAAACGTAGCGGACCTCAATACAGTTGAAGTTGTGAGCAGTCCATTGATTCTCATTGACCTCACGGACATTGCCCAGAGCAGATCGAGCGGAGGCATTCAAGTGTACGAGTCTGGCCGCGTCGTTGGCGACGGCACCTTCAGACCCTCTTTCGGTCAGGGAAGCTACAGGGCATTCTTCTGCGCCGATTTCCAGGGCGCTCCTATTCGGAAATCCGGCGTTTTCGAGGGGGACAACCCGCGCGTGACAGACAAATATCTAGCCGAGTTCACGCGTGGCATACATAACCCTACTGGTGCCGCTGGCGCATGGCTGCAATTTGAGCGTCCCACGACCAACCAGATCCTTGCTAGAGTCGGCCTGTCCTTCATCTCTGTCAACAAAGCTTGCGAGAATGCCGAGAGAGATATCCCCAAATTCGACTTTGACGGTACTGTGCGTGCTGCGGAATCGACTTGGGCCGACAAGCTCTCAACGGTGGATGTCAGCACGGAAGGCGTCAGTGAAGACATGAAGACCGTATTCTGGTCGGGTCTGTATCGGAGCCTGCTGTCACCGCAGAACTACACTGGCGAAAACCCGTTATGGGAGTCGTCCGAACCGTACTTTGACTCGTTCTACTGCATCTGGGACTCATTCCGAGCGCAGCATCCACTCTTGACCATCATCGACCCAGAAGCTCAAACGCAGATGGTACGAACATTGCTAGATATCTTCAGATTTGTTGGAAAGCTTCCAGACTGCAGAATGTCTTTCTGCAAGGGGTTTAGCCAAGGAGGTTCGAATGCGGATATCGTGATCGCAGATGCATACTTGAAGAACATGACCAACGGGGTCGACTGGAAGACCGCATACGAGGCCGTGGTCTCTGATGCCGAAGGTATGTGATTGGGATTCATATGGCGAAAAGTTTCTAACATGAGTTCTGTAGTGGCACCGCAGCACTATGGCGTCGAAGGCCGCGGCAATCTGCAAAGCTGGTTTGGCTTGGGATACATCGCACAGGATCATATGGACAAAGTATCGACCGGTCCACACAGCAGGTCTATTTCTCGGACCGTCGAGTACGCCTACGACGACTTTTGCATCGCAGAGATGGCCCAGGGACTCGGCCACCAGGAAGATTTTGAGAAGTACATGCAACGCAGTGCAAACTGGCAGAACCTCTGGAATCCGACCCAAGAGGACATTATCCAAGACAGGGACAAAAAGGAGGTCGAGAGAACGAAGTACACAGGATTCCTGATGCCAAAGTTGATGAACGGCTCGTTTACGTACCAGAACACGCGTGTTTGTTCGCCCAACACAGAACAGCATCTCTGCTACTTCGACACTGCCCAGGCGACATACGAGGGCTCACCCTGGCTGTACTCGTTCTTCGCACCGCAGGATATGGCAACTTTGATCAAACTGATGGGAGGTCGGGATGCGTTTGTCGACAGGCTCGAATACTACCACAGCGGCAACATTGTCTACATGGGCAACGAACAGGCGTTCCTTACCGTGTTCCAGTTCCATTATGCGGGTAGACCCGGCCTCAGCTCCCGCACCACACGGAGCTACATTCCTTCGCAGTTTAATGCCACGATCAACGGCATCCCTGGCAATGACGACTGTGCAATGGGTGCTTTCAGCGCGCTTGCCATGATGGGGTTCTTCCCCGTCGCGGGGCAGGACGTATACCTCGTCATCCCGCCATTCTTCCCCGAGGTGCGGCTTAAGAGCCGGGGTCCTAAGCCCGTTGTTATCCGAAAGGTCGCAAAGGATGACAAAGAACTTGCCGAGGGTATCTACATTCAGAGCGCCACTCTAAACGGGAAACCGTACACGAAGAATTGGATAAACCACGAGTTCTTCTACCACGGCGGTGTGTTGGAGCTGACCGTCGGTACGAAGGAGAGTGACTGGGGCACCAGAGAGGAAGATGTGCCTCCCAGCTATACAGCGACACCAAAGACAATAGCGCCAACTCGAACCCAAGGTTGAAAAGGTAGCGCCTGAAGGTGTATAAACAGAACAACAGCGTCAATAGCGTCATGTAAAGCATGACATGACAATCCCCAGTAATTATATAGATTTATACAGGAATTGAATGCACCCACAAATGTCTTGTCTTCAACTTCTCAGTTGTTAGTGTAAAACATTATCTGTTCGGCCAAAATGAAGGCTACGCCGACGGCATCAGCTCCCCCTGCAGCCGAAACGACATCGGAGGGACCCAGTTCACATTTGAAATTTGGAGGCGGTGATTGGATAGCTGTAGCTCGGCGCCCCAGACGTTAAACTCTTTGCAGCGTCCGACGGTTACTTGACTTGCCTGAGAGTCACTCGGCTTCTCCCGGCCATTGATACGCAGGTACCTTTCAGATGTAAAAAGAGCATCCAAGGATACCGAGGGTCTACCTGATGATTGAGCGACAGATGGCTGTGTTGTACAGGTACTGACCGAGTCCAAACACCACCGACGGGTTTCTCTCGGCTATCACCACCCACAGGAAACCACAGGGCCCGAGCTGGTGGGCGGCAAGTTACAAGCATTTTGACCACCCCTCGCATTACGTATTAGAGACGGGGGGGAAGGAAACGAAGCTCGTCAAGACTTCCCCAGTGTGCCGTCTACTGTAATTGAAAAGGATCCGCCGCCGTTTTTTTTTCTTGTTTCTCCAGGCTCCGCTGCTAGACTTTAAACCGCACGACTGCCCAATTGACGAACCACAAGGTGACTTGATCTAGTGAGAGAAACACCAATTGCGCCCGCGTCACTAGCTTTCCCTCGGCTTCCCTCTCTCTCAAAGCGCACCAGGGAACGAACGGAGCGAAACCTACGCCCTAGCCGACTCGGACGTTCCTTGCGGTAGTCTGGTTCACTGGAAAGGGGGACGAACTCCCTATCCCATCTTACGACACGACCAAGTACAGCATACAAATACGCTCACGCACATATTCCCGTAGCCAAGATGAATACCTCGGCATCACCTCTCGCGAGAAGTCTTCAGCGCAGCACGCGGAACCTCTCAAGGTGTCGCCTCCGGGCTACACGTCTCGCTCAAGCAGGACTCGCCACCACCTCGACCAGCAGCTCAACAACCACTTCAAGAAGCACGACTGGCAGGATACCTTCGAGACGGGGTTCTGCCGGCGTCACGATCTTCAGGCCTCTTGGCGCGCGCACTTTCACGACGAGTAGGACACGACGAAGCAACGAGGACGACGAATTCGACCCGGCAACGATTGAGCGTGAATCAGATGAGGTCGATGTTGTCATTGTAGGCGGTGGTAAGGAATCAGTCTACCCCCACGCCCTCGTGCTATGTATCTTGTGTCTAGATCCTCATTGAGCTGACAATGCCCTCAATGCTCCAGGCCCCGCCGGTCTGAGCGCCGCGATCCGACTCAAGCAGCTCGCCAACGAAGCCGGCAACGAAGACTTCCGCGTCCTCCTCCTCGAAAAAGCCGGCGAGATGGGCGCCCACATCCTCTCGGGCGCCGTCATCCAGCCCACGGCCATTGACGAGCTCATCCCGGACTGGCTGTCCGAGGACAACCCGGACCGCTTCGAGTACGCCACCCCCGCCGGCGGCGACCGCATGCGTTTCCTCACAAAGTCGGCCGCGATCCCCTTACCTACCCCGCCGCAGATGCACAACGACGGGAACTACATTGTTTCGCTGAATCAGTTCACAAAGTGGCTGGGCGACCGCGCTGAGGAGCTTGGCGTCGAGGTGTACCCTGGGTTCGCCGCCTCCGAGGTGCTCTACAACGAGGTCGACGGCAGCGTTAAGGGCGTCGCGACGAATGACCTCGGCATCGGCCGCGATGGGAAGCCAAAGGACGCGTTTGAGCGCGGCATGGAGTTCCACGCGCGTTGCACGCTCTTCGCCGAGGGGTGCCACGGCAGTCTGAGCAAGCAGGTCATTAAGAAATTCGACCTGCGCCGCGACAGCCAGCACCAGACGTACGCGCTAGGTATCAAGGAGGTTTGGGAAGTGCAGCCGGAAAAGTTCCAAAAGGGGTCCATCACACACTCGATGGGCTACCCGCTGTCCAAGGACTTGTACGGCGGCGGCTGGATGTACCACTTTGGGGACAACCTGGTCAGCATCGGCCTCGTCGTCGCGCTCGACTACGAGAACCCCTGGGTCTCGCCCTACGGCGAGTTCCAGAAGATGAAGCACCACCCCATGTACAAGGAGGTCCTCGAGGGCGGCAAGTGCCTTACGTACGGTGCACGCGCGTTGATTGAGGGCGGGTTCCAGTCGATTCCCAAGTGTGCGTTCCCCGGTGGCGCGCTAATTGGCGACTCGGCTGGCTTTGTGAACCTGCCCAAGATCAAGGGCACGCACAATGCCATGAAGTCGGGCATGCTCGCTGCTGAGGCCGCCTTTAACGCGCTCTCTTCGTCTTCAAGCAGCAGCGCGGCAGCGCAGGAGGGAGAGGGAGAGGAGGCCGAGGAGAAACCGCGCGATACCGTCTTCTTATACGACTACGAAGACAAGCTCCGCGAATCCTCCATCTGGAAAGAACTCAAAGAAGTCCGCAACTTCCGCCCCTCATTCCACACCCCGCTCGGTCTGTACGGCGGCATCGCCTACTCCGGCCTCGAGGCGTACGTCCTGAAAGGTCGCGTCCCCTGGACGCTGAAGCACAAGACGCCGGACCACGCGGCGACGGGCAGCGCCGACAAGTTCCCCAAGATTGAGTACGCGAAGCCGGACGGCAAGATCTCGTTTGACATCCTCACGAGCGTCAGCCGCACGGGCACGAACCACGAGGAGGACCAGCCGGTACACCTGCAGGTGAAGGACTGGGAGAAGCACACGCGGGAGACGTGGCCCAAGTTCAAGGGCGTCGAGAACCGATTCTGTCCGGCGGGCGTGTATGAGTATGTTGAGGACGAGACCAAGGAGCTTGGGGTGCGGTTCCAGATTAACGCGCAAAAGTGAGTTTCTCCCCCTTTTCCCTGCCCTACTTACATTCAACCCATCTTTGCCGGCTTTCGCGGTATAGCGAAGCTGGGGTTTGGACAGTGAGAGGACATTTTTTACTGACTTTGATACCTACAGCTGCATCCACTGCAAGACATGCGACATCAAGGCGCCGAACCAGGATATCAACTGGCAGGTCCCGCAGGGCGGCGAGGGTCCCAAGTACTACATGTCATGAGATGACTTTTATGTATCCATCAGCATCATGGCTAGGAGTATCTACCACCGGATAGAAAAGGCATTTTCTTTCTCTCATCTAACCTAGATAAAAGCCGTCGTATCTTTTTTTATTTTATTAATCAGATCGACCAAGAACCATAGCAGGGATATATCTTATACGGTAGTACCCAAGACGGAGGGAGGCACGAGAGTTGGAAGCAACATATGCAAGGGGCGCTGAGAGTACAGGCTTTGAACGCATAGAGGACCCCCCCCCCCTGATTCCCCGAATACAATGCTGGTATCAATGGAAGTTTTGTGTTACCGGGATAGGGAGTAGGTTGTATCTGCAGTCGGAATATCCGGTCAAAAATGAGTAAAACGCAGACCATCATGACGAAGAAAATCTCGAGGTTTGCCATGTGATTGCGCAAAGATCATCTAACAATGCAAACCAGCAGCAGCAGCAGCAGCAGCAGCAGCAGCAATTGACTACGCAGTACAGATACCTTATCGGTCCGCATCGGCAAAGAAGCATGCAACGATACCCTTACTTTAGCAAGGTCAGTTTGTATGAATGACGACACGCGATTGTTCCCGTCTAGGCTGGCAAGCTGGCCCCGACTTGGAGGGTGTGTGTGTGTGTGTGTGCGTGTGTGTGTGTCCAGTCTGTGCCCAGTGTGTGGCATATCAGACGAATGCCCAACACGTCCTTGCCTGCATTGACGGAGAGAAGTTCTGGAAAGACCAGGGGCGCGAAAGGCAAGGGGTCCCGACTGTCGCGACGTCGTTGGCGTTCGGGTCGTGATTGACGGTGGAGGGTATGGATGGATAAGATACAATCATTCATACAGTGTACGTGAGAAGCGGAAAGGTGGAGGGAGGGGCCTCTGCTGAATCAAGTCGACACACTCACTCATACCGCGAGAAAGAGTCCCTGCAGGAAAAAATAGCATTCTCCCTCGTGCCAAAAGTTGCGACTGCGCGGAGTGGCACCCGATCGGAGGTAGACCCCGACTCGGGCGGAATGCGGAAATGGGGGGGAGGGTGGAGGGGGGAAGGGAACGACATCGGAGACAACCAAGGGTGCGATGCGAACTTGCGAGACACTTGTGGTTCATGAACTCCATGCGCTGGGCGAGGCTGGAACGGGGGGAGCCCACGACTTTTCTAGTGTACGGGACACATTGCAACAATGTAAAGAATGCGGGCTCAGTGCCCGTCTCAGTGGCTGGAGTGCAGCCTTTCAAGTTGGACAAGCGTGATTTTGCATTTTTATTTTGATCTTGGTCTGATGGCGTGCTTTGCGTGCCAGTTGATTGAGTCGTGTAGCTCTTTGGGTTTTGTTTGGTTTCTTACGTTTAGTTGGGAACTCTAGGTCAGTTGCTGTCGCTGCCGCTGCCCAAAGCGAGGAGAATTGGTAGTGCGACGGGCAGCCAAACCTTGAGCGTCGCGATGGAGGCAGAAATGGGATACGAAGTAGGTGCGGATAGTGATACAGCGTGACAGAGTCTCAGGGAGTGGTGGTGCCAAGTCGAGGGTGAGGGTGAGCCACCTTCAGGTTCCCACGAGGCTGTCGGACTTATGAGTTTGATGTTTGAAGTTGCATGAGTCGCAGCGCAGATGGAGCTTTGGCAGGGCCCGCAAGGCCGAGATGCGGCCTTAAAACCGTATAGAAAAGCAAGCACCTGGCAAGCAGCGCCAGCAAGCAGCAGCAGCAGCTGTAAGCACGAGGTCGGGGTCGGGGTATGAAAGAGAAAAAGGAAAAAACTTGGCCTGAGGTTTGGGGCAATGGGGCTCACACATGCATGAGTCGCGAGGGCAAAGCCGAAGATGTGGACA